TGTACAACGTCCGTACTATGTATACGAATTGAAAATGTAAATAACACAAAATAATAAAAAAAAAAAAAAACCGTCAGCCACATTTCAGAAATATTTTCCAGTACGGTGGATTATTATGAAATTAAATATCCGAGTTATTTATTGCGATAAAAATCGCAAAGAATCTCGTTGTGCTATCTAACTTTGTAGTAATGCGCGTCACCGCCGTAGCTAGGGATGGGGGTCACTTGTATCACGTGCCCCCCTCGAAAATGTTCATTCTGAACGGTTATTTCGGCGTATATTATCATTCAATAGAAATCGATATGACGTAATACAATACGGATTATTTGTAGTCTCCCCCCCCCGCATTTTAGAAAAGTTGTTCTGTTATTGACTGATTATATCTTACCTATAATATACATTTTGAAATATAATATTAGAGAAAAATCTGATGGTTGGTAACTTGACTCGAGAACGATCCGTCGGTTGACATTGTCAAACACTAGGTTTTAACAGGGATTTCACGAATTTACGATTCAATCACATTGAAATATATTTTTCTGTGGAAATCGTTCGTTCTCGTAGTTTGACGCATTTCAGTCTGTTTGGCCGAATTTAGTACCGTCCTCGCGTGCACTTGTCAGTTTTTCAATTAATAAATTTTCAATTCAATACGAATTGTGTATACATATAATAAACTCGTATATTCTATCGAAAAATGTAGTGGTGTGATAATATTAATAATTTTTATTTGTTAATTTTCAATTTTTAATTTATGAAAACAATTGTTTACCATATTAAAAATCCTACACGCAGACACAAATTAAAATTAATATCGCGTGCTTATCGAATGCGTAATATCACCGTTCTCAGGGTAAGGAGGGGGAGGATACTACCGATAAAAAACACGAGTTACTAGTCTAACATTTTGTATTTTTATGTTCGGCGCTCAATGTTTTACGTGATAAGTATTTGAGTAGCGTGGCGTTAAGTTTTTGATGTGACTGTCATAATAACGCGTTTGACTTAGACGAATACAAAATCTACTTTTGTGTTTTCGTGAATTCGTTTTCAAAAAAACAAAACACTTAAACCGGCCATAACTCGGTCAATAATTACTCTTCGTGGATTTGTATTGTTTTTTGTTTTTTTATTTTTTTAATTCTGGGCGTATGGCGAGAAATGTATTTGTTTTACTACAATCTGTGTATTTTTTTCTATTTGCTAACAACTTTTTTACCAGAAATCTTGCTCCAATCATTAATATAAAGGATGGTTTTAGTAAAAAACTTTATATGTAGTTAATGCATTGAGAAGGTCATTTTTTGATATTCCTTGTAGTTTTCCTTATGATTGGGGAAACGGAGAAAAACCTCGAGAGTAAATGTTAATGGGAATATACGTATTTACTCAATACACAGTTTTTCTTATTTTTAACATTTAAACTTGTTTTAAGTTCTAATAAAATTAAAGTTTTAGTTATGAAAAAAAACTATCCATTTTCCCCTTTTCCGTGAGTTTTTCTCAGATTTTACACAATTATTAAGATTACAAGGAAAATTTAAAAAATGACCATCTTAATACATTAACTAGGTACAATTTTCGTTTAGAAAAAACGCTACACCTGATGATCGGAACAACATTTTTGGTAGACAAATTGTTTACAGAAGGAAAGTACATTTCTCGCTGTGCTCGGAATCTAAAACTTATAAAGTTTAATGTACTCATTTAAATAATATTAAAATTATTTTACTATTATACGCATATTACAGGAATTGAAAACATGGCACCCGCCAATAATACTAGCGAAATTGGAACCCCCGCGAACACTACGATGGCATCGAATTCTCCCATTGCCGTGGCTCCTGTCGAGGAAACAACCAGCAAGTCCGGGAAACAAAGCTCACCCATCATTGAGGTTTACGAGACGTCGACGATTACCAAGGCAGACCTAAGTGAGTTCCTATATACGCGTATTTTGTAAACGCACAATATAGTGTTACGTTCGTTTCGGTAAGTCTTTGTTTTATTTACCGTGACTGCAACTAAATAACAATAAATGGAGTGTGATCGCTGATAGCGATAACGTCACAGACATTCCCCTTTTTAAATTTGTCATTTTGTGGGTAGAGGGTGAGTAGTTGAGCATAATTTGCGTGGCGACGAGCGGTGTTTAATTGGTGCTTCACTACTCTGTGGTACTTCTGCCCATAAAAGCAAGAAAATGAAAATTTCATCACCGAAATGCATTTAAGTTAAAACGTCGTCTAATTATGGAATTTGTAATACAGGTTACTATTTAAAAATCAAAAATGGATATTTGTTTCATTCCCAATAACATAAGGGTGATAACTAATAATACGGCAGCGTAACATTTTAGAATTGTTTGTTTCATAAATTTTCCAAAAGAAAAAAACAAATGCCCAAAAAAAAAAAATTTAATATTTTCCAACGTAACACGAGTGTGTTACGTTTTTATGAGCGTTGAATTATTAAAATACAATATAATTTAAGTATAGCAACGTATTTTTATAGCTTCGAAAAACGTCATCAGGGGTGCGCCTGTTTCGGCGCATTTTTCGATAAAATAAAAATGGGTTTTCACTTTTCTACGCCGATAAATGTGCGTGCGTGAGACTGTCTGTAAAAACTTAATAACCAGCGCCGTTTTTACGTTCTCGTCGATATCGAGCCTTTTTGAATTGGTGTATTATATAGGAAATTACTTCTGTTATATTAAATTGATAAAGGGACGTCGGAATTCTGTATTTCGCGCAATTACATGTCGTCCTTTTCTAAAATGTTTTTTTCCTGGTATGCAGCAATAAACAGAATGATGATAAAATACTCATTATCTCGGAAGTATTTATTTTTTTTTTCCGGATTTTTCACCCTTATAAAAATAAGAATTTCAAACCCGCTATCTACTTTTAATTTTAAAACAGAAACCAAGATTAAAATATCAATAAATAGATGAAGTTTTTTTTTTTTTTGCATTTTATACGTTTAACCAAATTTATATTGTATTGTTGTGCAGAGCCAAGCGTATTCTCGGAGAAAAATCACCGTTCGAACAATACTGTACGGTCATTTTCGACCACGCCCAACACTTTGATTCCAACGGATAATTCAGAAATGCCACCATGGGCGTCTTGGTCCATAATAATAGGTCAGCAACGGATATGATTTTTTTTTTTACAAAACAATAACTAATAATAATAATTATAAATTGCATTGTGTTTGTATAAAACAATAGCGGTAGTATTACTCGCCGTCGGATTCGTGGGCTTTTGCATACACAGATTCTTCAGGAAACGAAGAACAAAAGATGGAAAAAAAGGAAAAGGCGTGGTGGATCTAAAAGCCGTTCAACTTTTGGGTTCGGCGTACAAAGAAAAAGTAAGTAGGTATAGTAACATATTTTTTTATTTAACCGACGACGATTCCGTTTGACAATGGATCAACCAACATTCGAATCGTCAAATACGCATGGAATATGGATGCGCATCCCCTAGGATATTACATTGTCGGTAAAATAATAACAAAAGACTAGTCTGTTAAAAAAATATAATAATAATTAATACCGGACATCGTGACAGCGTAATAATAACACCGAAATAAGAAAAATTGTGCTTTATCGGAGTCATATAATATTTCAGATACAACCGGACATGGAAGAATTGACCGACAACGCGGAGGAAATCGCCGAAGAAGGAGACAGTACAAAGGACGAGAAGAAATTGGGAAGACTGCAATTCAAGGTAATTCTCGGCAAATTATAATAATACACATATCTTCCTAAACATTTTTAAATATTTTAATAGTAAATGTTACCTACTCGATTACTCGAACAATATAAATACGTATACTCGTGTTATTTATCGCAGATGGAATACGATTTCCAAGGCAACACTCTTTCCGTGACGGTCATCCAGGCGGAAGACTTGCCGGCCCTGGACATGGGCGGCACGTCGGACCCGTACGTCAAGGTTTACCTGTTGCCGGACAAGAAAAAGAAATTCGAGACGAAAGTGCACAGGAAAACGTTGAACCCCGTCTTCAACGAAACTTTCCAGTTCAAGGTGAAATTGTATTTTATTACAAATCGCATTCAATTTTCAAGAAATTAACTTGAACGTTTCTCATTTTTTTTTTTTTTTTTTTATAAACGTGAGCGTTTTTGGTCCGTTCGTTGGCAAATTAACTTTCATAAACTAATATTTTATTTACACATCGGAGTAGAGAATTCGAATTTCATATATTAAATTTGTATTTGCTTGGTAGAAATTAATATTACAATATGTATATTCATTAATTCGTTGTTCGTACTGCGAAGAGATGAAAAATAACGACACGAATCGAAATTTTAAATGTACAAAATTATACAAAATTAATATTTTATTGCACGACTCGCATAGAGCCGAGTATATCTTCCGAATTGTATTACAATATTCGTAATTATAATCGATAAGTACTCATTTTCAATTTTATTCCCGACAATACGCACCGTGTTAAATATTATCTACCGTATTTTTACAACTGTTCCGTTATAAAAAATATTGCTAATATTGTAATTCATACATTTTGTTTCTGTGACGGCAATATATCGACATTAAAATACTATAGCGTGTCAATATTGTCATAATATTATACTATTATAGTTTGATAGTTTGGCATTATTCAATAATAATTATAAGAACAATCGCCTATAGCCCAAATGGTTAAAAAATCGTTCAATGGTGATTTCATGCGAAACAATAATAATTTGTTGAATAAATGTTTACATTTTGAAACTATACTGACAATTATAATAATTTGTCGACTGCGTTCGAGTCAAAAACGTTTATTAATTTCATAAATATGTTATAAAAAAAAACATTTTTGTTTGCGCTTACGTCACTCGCTATACTCGGTAAACAGAGTTATTGGAGTAAACGATATTTTACATAGAAAAAAAAAAAAAAAAACATTTACTGTTATTTACAATTCGATGAACTCCAATTAGTTCGGTTGTTTTAAAAGAGCTTTCCCGCTATCCGCTTATCCGTTATTGTTTTCGTTTATCGGACTCCTAATATTATGATAATAATTGTCCAGGGTATACCGTATGCGGACGCGATGAACAAGACACTGGTGTTTGCCATATTCGATTTCGACCGGTTTTCCAAGCACGATCAGATCGGCGAAGTAAAGGTGCCGTTGTGCCAGATCGATTTGGCCCAGACGATCGAAGAATGGAGGGAATTGCAATCGGTCGAAGGGGAAGGAGGACAGGTCAGTAGTAATCGAAAACGATCGCGGCGAGTAATTAATAATAGTAATAATAATCATTCAATTAATATCATGTTAAATATTGAAAAGCCTTTCCGGGTGTTCTTGTCCACCGTATATTGTTCGATTATATACATCTACACGCAGACGTACCTTGTCTTTTCGAGGATGAAATGTTTTAACGATACTCGTTGAAAATATTATAATTACACGACCCGTCGTATCCACGCGCGGTTGGTAAAACGTGCTACCGACCCGGAATTCAGCTGTAAAAACTGCTCGGGCTACAGGTAAACGTGTAATAGTTATTAAGAAACCAAATTTTCACCGTAAACTAGGAAGAACGACGCACTGTGCGACATTGATAGTTTTTCGATACCAAAAATGTTTTTAAAAAGTCTGACGCCGGTAACGGGTGTGCCACGATTTTGGGAGAGAAATCGAAAGGGAGGATATAACACGGGGTGAATAATTTATTTCGCAACGATAAAAACCGTCGGAAAAACAATTTCCCGTAGTTTTTCTACGGAAAAACAATTCTGAGCAGAGTCAATCCGGAAATCGACAAAAACCGCCGGTTTTTCGACGTTTATTAAGAAAACTGCACAAAATGACCGCCTATAATTAGATCAAAAATGCTACAAAAAATTCCCATAAATGATTTATTGGAACAAGATTTTTCGTAAAAAAGTAGTTTACAGATACACACATACACACACACACACACACACAAACACGTACACACACGTACACATATACACATCATAGTAAAACCAAAACGTTCCTCGACTTCGCTCAGTAGTAAGAATCTAAATGTTGTTAAATTGTTCTGAAATGTGACATGTTTTTCAAACTCGGACAACTATTTTCGCAGTAATGATATCGAAAAACTAAAACCAACGTTGCATATTGCAGGCGCTCTCTTTTGTTTTTTTTTAACAGTGAAAATTTCGTTTCTTAATTAAATCTGCATAATAAGAGTACAGTGTATGCCGGCGGTAAACGGTTTCTCCGAATTTTTTTTTTAATGTTAATTTCTCGGTCGATTACACGATAAATACTCGTTATTTATTACTCGAGACCACTTGAAAACACATATTTCAAAGTGAATTAAGTAAAATTTCCTTGAGTTCGATTTGGATTTCGTTTTTCACAAAATGTCGAGAAAATCGCATGCGCGACAGGCGACCCGGGACAGGTAGCACGTTCGCCGTCGTGACCCGAACGTCTCGCGGAAATTCGCATTTCAAATAATACCAATCCAAACGTATGACGTTGTAAAAGTACATTTGTTTGTTTTTTTTATCCAAACATTTCTTCGTATAAAACACACACGGTAGCCACGCCCCGCGTCGCAATAATAATTATAATAATAATATTACACTTTTGCCGCCACTCGAATCGTAAAATACTCGCGTTCGCCGCATTCATAATACACGTGTTATAAAACCGACATTATGTGCAATAACTTCCCGTGCAAAACTTCCGAAAGCGGGAAAACAATCACTATTTATTACTTTATGATAATATATTTTGTTTTATTATTTTTTTATTATTATTATTATTACTTTCGCATAGATAAAAAATATTAGTATTTTTTTTTATTTTTTTTTAATTTTTTTAATTTTTATACTGTTTTTTTATATACATCTTATACTACTTATAATATTATTAATGAAATGCATATATATATTTAACCGTTTGAACCATTTTACATAATATATTATATATATATATATATATATATATTTTTTTTTTATTTTTCTTAATTAACCTACTTACTTCATTTTGTTAATACATCATAATATTGTATTGATCTAGGCGCAACGATTTTCGTATAAAACGAGCATGCAATACTTTTTTATTCTATATATATATATATATATATATATATATACTTTTTTACTTATCTATACTTACTATATTATACTATATTATTACGCAATTATTATATATTATATACACATATAATAATGTATATTATTTACATATACATCATAAACAATACATATTATAATTTATACATTTATAATAACGATAATATATTATAATATGTATTCGTATGTACGTGTATATATTATAATATTGCAATATTTTATTACTTCTTTACATATTATTATTATTATTATTATCTATACAATTATACTTACTTACAATTTTTTTTCCATATATTATTATTATTATCTATATTTGTTGTTATTCGCAAGCATTGTATTTTGTTATTTTTTTCTGTTTGTATTTGTTTTGGTTTGAATACAAAAAATCGACCCGATTTTTTTGGAACACGGTGCACCACGAAAACCAACAATGTAAAATATGTATACTCACGTAAGTACCGACGTAACGGCCTCCCAAGCCGAACTATAGCCCTGTGTCATACCGAAATGTGTGCTGTGTCTCGTGTTTTTGTGGTGTTCTGCTATATTATAATATTATTATTACGATTTGTTTTTGGTTTTGTTTTGTTTTTTTTTTTTTTTTATTTCGTCAGTTTTTATATGTTATATATTATTATTATTATTATTAAAACCCTTTATTACGTTTTCAATGTTCTAGGACTGCTGTTTTTTTGTTTTTTTGTTTTTTTTTTTAGATATTATACCTACCTAAGTATATTGTTATTATTATTACATATACTTGCGTTTGGCAGTTTTTCACGGTTGCGATATTATTATTATTATTATTAGGTACGAGAAAACGGACGCGTGACTTTATCACGGTCTTGTTCCCCCGATCGCCGTTAACGATTAGCGTTGACGTCATTACATTATATTTTGATATATTATATAGGTACTATAACTGTATATTATTATTATTATTATTATTATTATTATTATTATTATTATTATGATTGTTGTCATGATCGAGACGTGACGCGGACGCAGAGTAATATTTTCGGTATCAACGGTCGCCGCAGCAATCGATAATTTACCAAAAAAAACTGACACTAACCTAACCGCCCGCACCCCGGACGAACTCGACCAAATATCTTCGCCTACCCGCCCGTACAATATGGACGATATTAATTGTTTTTCTCGCGACAATAATGGCTGTTGAATTCAGAACCGTACATTACGTTTTTCCATTCAAAGACGTGTTGTTTGCCCTTGTTCAACCGAAAAAAGTCATCAATAAATTTTCACGCTAGACCGTGCGCAGGACCGTCCTCAAAAGGGGGGGGGTGAACGGGGCCCGAGCCCCTGGGTCTCGCGCTTTTTACTAAGATTTGGGCCCTCGCGTTTGGCAGGAAAAAAAAAACACTAATTTATATTTAATATAATATTGAAACGTGAAAATATTTTAAATTTAGCCCCGGACCTCGCGAATCGCTATTCATAGGCGCAACTAGAGGGGGCAGGAGCTAAGTCCCTCCAGTTTACCGAATGGCCACCCCAGTAACGACGAATGTAGTTATAGATACATTGATATTTTATAATAATTATTTGCGTTTGTTTTCACGACTACGATAATCTAATACGACATTATGTTTTCAAATTCAAGCGAATAAATCTGTTCGACGTTATAGCCGCCGTCACCACCCACCCCCTGCCCGAAATTTTCACCCGAATCGCGCCCACGGTCGTGTCCGTTGGTTTACCCCATATCCGCGCCGAAAATACGCGCAGTTTTACCGAAATACACCCGTATAATTTCGTCGGGCCTTTATTGTCGGTACCGAAATGCTAAGCGTGCGCGTAACGTGCGGTTAATGTTCATGTCGTACAATACTATAATTATAACTGCAGTAGCGGGTAGCTATCTCTGGAAACATGCAAAACTTTCGCGTATAATATCATACTGTACATGTACATTATGTTATTGTCGGTATAAAATAAAGGTTACGTTTTCGTACAATTTATAATAATATACGCAATATACGCGTAGTCTTTGAGTAACGTATTATTCGACGTATACATCGGTATGATATTTATCGCGATTTTTTTTTTTTTTTTTAGATTTAATTAGGTCCCACGTATTACAATATTATCATAATATTAGCAGCGTATACCTCCTATCTATTTAGCGTCGTAGGTTTTCCGTCGATTATACTGTGATACTATACTATACTATAATGTACAATCGGACCGTGTTTACTCAGACTAATAATTCTGTCTTTTTTTTTTTTTACGTTTTAAAACTATTTATTAAGAGAATATCGCGCGACAAACGTTTATTAAGTGGCGTGGACGAGCGTGGCCGTTTATTTCAACAGTCAAAAAAATAACGAACACTTTTCGCCCCGAAAAGTATTCGAACGCAGCATTTTATCCGTAAAAATTTAAAATCATTTCGTGTACGAAATTCGTGTTCGAAAACATCACGAAAAAAACAAAAAAGTATTATCCTGACGACAGCGTTATATCCATGTATAGAATATATGTCGTATGTTTATTCTCAATTCACCATATTGAATAACAAGTGCTTGAATTGGATGGAGGGAGGACGGGCAGGGGACGGAGCTCTTTTACTTTAGATATTTTTTTTTTCCGCGTCCCTAACTAATTCGTTTGACGGAAGCATGGTACGCGTCTCGTTTTTCAAAGAATTTTATTTTCCAAAAATATCATGTATCATCAACTCGGAAAAATTGTACGGTTTTTTCTTTATCAGAATTCAATATGTACCGTTCAGTTATAATTATTGTGTTGTTTCTGTGTTGCACCTTTACCTCTGTTTATAAGTAATTTAATCAATAACTAAACGTTGCGATTTTTATTATACGAACGTACAAGAAACCATTTAGTAAAATACATAAATTATAAATACATAAGTTTTAACTTAGCTTGCAGGAGTATAATTTGGTTACGCTTTCTTTTTTTAATAAATGTTTGATCGTATTTTCGAATATCTCGAAAAGCCGTGTAAGGTGAGCGTGTGGGGTAGAGCAAATCAACGATCGTAAGGGACGCTATAATTTTATTTAAGTTTCGTTGTTCGTTTATTTTCCCGATTCGAGCACTGGGTTATTTAAACCAAAAGCGGACGGGTCGTTCGCCGGACGAAAAACCGCGTGTTCTTTGATTTTCATTTACGCTAAACGATTTTTCGACTCGAGATTTTTTTTTTTTTGTGTTCGACGAGCAACGTTCGCACGCTGACATCCTCTTAAAATACGTCGAATTAAGAAAAAAAAAAAAAAAAACCGTCAAACAATAACGGCCATTGTTAAAACCATAACGATGACGACGAAAATTAACGACCAACAGTAATATTCTATGATAACGACGTTGTATCGCATACGGACGAAACGCCCGGGCGAAAACGATTCCGGCGCGTTTTACCAAAAACGATTATTTTCATTATTTTTACAACGTAAATATAACGGCGTGGTATATTTGTGTTATAAACGGTATATTCATTTTTTTTTAATCAATACCTGACGACGAATATTGTATTTTAACAGTCCGTAACGCGTACATAATAGTATAATATATTATTTATGAATCGACATTTCGACTGTACACGATTTTACCGTTAGTATATTTAAATAGATGTTATACTATCATCCATAGATCAACGGTGCTAGACCACATATAATATTATATTATATATATAATTATATATATGTATACTTATAGAATTACTATAGCGTAGTATTATTACTGTCGAAAAACTTAGGCATTATATTTTACTGTACACTTAGACGGAATACTAGAATTCGAATACAATATACACATAAACACATACATATTCCCGTGTTTTGAAAACCTACAATAAAATAACGTTAATGATATAAAATTAATAACGATAATGTGTCCGCCTGTTAGATGTTGTCCGAAACTCACACGCGTATAGTGGCACAAATCGTTTATGGAACGTGCTGATGTATTGCCCACATTATATAGTATCGTTATATTATTGTAATAACTGTGTATACGGTTCCCCGTGTATAAAATCAATTTGTTGCAATTAATATTATTATTTTTTTTTTTTAGAAAATTGGATTTTCCTCCTTCCCCTCCCCCCCCACCGCCAATACTATATTTTATTATTGTTACAATACCGATTCAGAATCGTGATCGAAAAAAAAAAAAAAACCACGTCTCGACGTTAAAACACTGTTCGTTTTGCCGTTTTTTTAGGATAATAAGCTGGGAGACATTTGCTTCTCGTTGCGTTACGTGCCCACCGCCGGGAAATTGACTGTCGTGATATTGGAAGCTAAAAATTTAAAGAAAATGGACGTCGGTGGACTCTCAGGTATAATATAAAAAAAAAAAAAAAAAAGGAAACACGACAACGAACTGAAACCGACATTGCCCATACACACGATTCGTCGCTTCCCAGTCCCCCGTTTAAAGCTTTTGATGCGCTATACGAATGTGTATTTTATAATAATTATTATATTGCCTATTTATGTGTATACGCAGATCCGTACGTGAAAATCGCCTTGATGCAAAACGGAAAACGGTTGAAGAAAAAGAAAACCAGCATAAAAAAGTGTACTCTCAATCCGTACTACAACGAGTCGTTTACATTCGAAGTGCCGTTCGAACAGATACAGGTAAATAAAATTAATAAATACACGTTTCAATAAACGCCGAACAAAACGAAAGTGGCGGTTACATCACAGTCTTGAGGGAGGGGCGGATTTCAATGCCGTGGTTGTCATCACGGACTTCAACCCCCATCTCCCTGTCCTTATCCTTTTTTGGTATTTTATTACTCCAGTGTGTAGTCGTACGGAAAATGTGTTACGTACACTTTGGCGGTTTTAATTGAAAATATTGGTCTTGACCCCTATTATTAGACATTTTATCGTTTCTGTCCTCCCCTCGGATATCTATCGAAAAATCATAAACATGCATTCAACGAATGCGAACTTGGAATGATGTTAATTATGCACTGCAGGGTTAAACGATACAGGCAGTAACCGAACGGTCGAAACAACCATCGGGAGAACAAAATATTATGGTTTTATTAAAGTTTTTGCGACACGAATGTCAAATCAAATTAAAATAACGAGTCGAAGTATAATTTATGATATCCGTTCTCCACTGTGGACCGTCGAAAGTCGGTCGGTGAAACCGATTGACGATGTCAGCCGTTTTAGTATGTGTATCGGTTTTTTCTCTTAATTTTTCGACACGTCAGTGTTGTCATTTCATATTGTGGACAACTTTTCATGTCAAACCGTACACAAAATTAAAATAACGATTATTTGAAAAAAAATAATAATAATAACGTATACATTTCTCTTTTTTTTATTATTATTATTTAACAGCGTTTTATAATTGCAGTTTTTAATTGCGCCTTTTAACGTTTGAATAAATAAACGATCACCGAACGAACCACGGACAATAATCTGTGCATATTGTAAGCCGTAATAAGTTACCCGTACAAATAAAACAATATCCAGAGTATTTGAGGGATTGCGCGTAGGCAATTTCAATGCCATTTTTGAAAAAGTGAACATTGATCATCTCGAATGAAATTTCAAATAAATTTAACGTAGGCAATAACGAATCCCCTCGCATTTATTACGCCACAAGTAATAATACTTATTGCGCATTCGAGAGAAATCCGTTTCGCGCAGTTGAAAAGTACTCGGGCTAAGAAACCAAATGTTCATCACAAAAACGAAAAACCTCGCAGCGACCGAGTTTCAAAACCGTAAAACTATCCGATTACCAACAATTACCGATATCCAATATTAATACTTGTTTAACACTGTTCGCGGTATCGGAGGGAAAAAATATAAACTTCGTTGCACGGCGACATTTCCTACGTTTCGTACGGTGAATATGGTCGGTTTCTTACGAAAGTAAGATTACCTAAGATCCAAGACCCGAATAATATTGTTGTCGAATGAATGAAACTGCTTTTCATTCGTCTTATACAGACTGTCCGTCAACGTCGCGCACCGAATGTATTGGCCCATCGACTGTTTAAGACTTTCACTGGTTCAAAATTATACAAATTGACAAAAAATTAATTAAAATAAAAAATACAATATTGCGCGAGATTTTCTCGGTAATTCGCCGATTCATTCAATCCCCGGGCCTGCCGTCCATATCCTGAAAATTCGGCCTGTTGTATGGTTTTTATGTACACTTACTTAACTTCTTTTTTTTTTTTCGTAGTTATTACGAGTTTAAGGTCATACCGTTCGAACGTTTTGTTTCCAGTTTTCCCTGTCCAATGGTTCTTTTCATTCCAATCCACTCATGGCTTTACTTTTCCTACTTATTCCGTCGCCCTATTTTCCCGTCCTCCAAACGATGTTCCTCCTCCCCCCCCTCTAGTGATGCATTTCCTGTAGTAAGTAGAAACGATTCCTATTTCGCCTTTACGCCGTACCTCTTTCGTGTTCGTTTCAGTCTCTCGGTACCAATAAAAGACTTCCACGATATTCGTACTCGGATACATCTCCCTTGTACATAGTTCCCGGTTATTTCATATTTCTCACTATCAGATGTATATGCTTCTTACGTCTCCACTCGTCTAACTTAATTCACTTACGTTTTTTTTTTTTTTTTTTACGAATTTTTCAGAAAGTCAACCTGGTAGTGACCGTAGTCGATTACGACCGTATCGGCACGTCCGAGCCCATCGGCAAAGTGGTGTTGGGCTACAACGCTACCGGCACCGAGCTGCGACACTGGTCGGACATGTTGGCGTCGCCGAGACGTCCGATCGCACAGTGGCACACGCTAAAGGATCCGGACGACGACGCCAAGAACTAAGAACAACAAAAAACCGCTGTACACGATATCCGCCACCGCCGCCGACGATAATACAATAACGAATATTATAAAAAAAAAAAAAAAAAAACAAGCTTAACCCCCGGTATTATATTATTATATACAATATGTTTTAGGTAACACATATTATTTTACTATCAAAAATACGTAACGATATGAAAAATAAATAGACAAAATAATAATTATTATTTTACCCGCCGGCAAACTAGACGTATACCGGTATAACATATATATAATACACAAAAAACAAAAAAAAAACCGGAGGCAGTGGCCCGTCGTCGTCATTCTTAACAACACTAAAAAAAAAAAAAAATAAAAACCTAAAAAACTATTACATTTAAAATTTACCTACCGTTTTGTAGCGCGGACACATTTCGCTGTAGAAACCGCGAAAACGACATTGGATTGCCGACGAACGATCATATAGAATTTTCCAACACAATGTTTACAATATTACCGTAGTTAACAGTGTTCGAGCATTCCCCCATCGAGTATATCGAATATCATGTTTGGCCGTCCTTTTACCGCGGGCGGACCCTTTTCAAGCCGCTCCCCGACGGCAGCGCCGTAAAAACCGTTTCGATCTTCCTCCCCTCCCCCCACCCCCGCAAATAGTTTCCACAAATTTCACAATGTGCGGACACGATAATATTGTTCTCGCGAAAATATCCTAAACATTTCAAAATTACATTTGTGTCGTACAATGTATTCGATTTCCGATAGGCAGTGATATTTTGTATGAACTCAGGTAATAAGACGTACAGACGTACACACCTCTATGGGCGGGTAGAGTTTCAGTGGTTATAATCCGCGCGTAATATTGAAAAATATTTTACTGCGTAGGTGCGTACGCGCGGTTTGACTAGTTTATACCAAAATACCGTTTTGACCGAAAAGGGTTCCGCCATACATTTCACAGACTCTGATCGTTTTTTTTTTTTTTTCATTGTTTTCGTGTTGTTGTTCTATTATTCCTTCTGTGTAAATAATATTATAATTATAGTCGATAAATAATATGTATACAATAAAAAAAAAAAAAAAGGTAAAAAACTATAGACAGCCGACGGTTTGACAATATTATCGTTCGTGATCCGTTACAAGAACCGTATGAAATTGCCCGGTTATATAATTACACTATACACGGGGGCCATTGGCGTACACAGGAGGGGGCGGGTCACAAGGCGATTGCCTCCTCACAATTTCGATTGTTTTTTTTTTGTTTCTGCTTAATTCGTTTAGGCGTTCAATAATATTATTTCCATAGTAACGTAAACGTATACGGGTTTCGGTATTATTATAAGCTACACGCTCGTTTGCCGGCAACAGACGTGATAATCGGTAATAATAAGACGTGTAGGGGGGGGGGGCGGGAAAGACGAATATCGACAAATTGGATCAGTAAAAACGCGTTTTTAATAAAATCGGCACCCTCCCTCGCGCCCCACGCCGTTGAACTACACTCGAATCCGTCGCTGGAGTATCGCACCGATTGGGCCCGTGAAATATTTTGTTTCCCACTGTTATGTTGTGCGGACGATAATATTGTAGAAACGTCGGGGACAACAAGATAGGGGTACCCAAGGTGTTGCGACTGTTTTCGCATATTTTCCATCGTATTGTCGCGCGTACGTGGCTCGCTCGAATATTTCGCCGGTTTAAAAGACACGATTCCGCCCTCCCTGTGTGCCTGTTAAACAACGACACAACCGTGGCCAGGCCCCGCGTAAACAATTCGTATAGAGCCGGCTGTCTGCAGTCTTTTTACCCAAGCAGCAACACGTTTAAAATACTGTTATCGCGCCGTAGACGCCGTGTTTTCGAAAAATAATAATCATAACAGCGAGACCGTCGGACGCGCTCTAAAAGCTTTTCGAACGAAATTTTTTTTTTTTTTTCTAAAAAAATCGCGCGTTGACACAGGCCACGTACATGGCGTGTATTATAATACCCGGCCCCGCGGTTTCGAATCGACGGGAAAAATCCACGCGGACCGCAATAACGACCGCGATGTTCGTAAAACAATACCGTCAACTCGCGTAGCTATTCGAACTCCGTTTAACCGACAAAATAATCACCGTTTCGCCGTCGCGTTTGGTTTTTGTTTTTCCAGCTACAAATCGCAAAAAAAAAAAAACCGTCGCTCCGTTAATTGTTATTAACGCGTCCGGGCTTTTCGCACGGTCCCGTTTCGAACCGACGACAACGGAATTTCACCCGTTACGGGGGTTGCGCCGTGCGCGGACGTTCCGACGGCGTCCACGCGCGACGCGATAATATCACGGGGGAGAAGAAAACGTGCGCGCACGCGTGTGAACCGCGACGGAAATATCATCGGCAGATCGGTCGGGGCCCCGTCGGTCTCAAAACCACGATTGCGGATCAGTGCCGCGCGGTCAGGGGAAAACGAATATTGTATCGTATACGCCCTCCCGCGCCCCCGCCCGTAACGATAATATACGCATGATATTTATTTTTGGTGTGTGCGGGGGGAAAAAAAAAAAATTTAAAAAAAACAATAATAAAAAAAAAAAAAAAAACCCCCTTTTTTTAAAAAAAAAAAAAAAAAAAAGGCATGCCCTATAATACGAGTTCATTATGTTTAATCAATGCGATTGCGATGCGTTGCGTCGCGTCGTTCTTTGTGTAAATAATATTTATCTAATTTTACCGCGTATTTATCGCTAACGACACCGTGTCGAATACGTTTCGTTCGGGTCGGACATTGCGCAGATTCACGACAACGACACGTATACGCGCGTGTGCATGTAGTTGGATAGTCTTCGTTATTTAATATTGTAATATTACCGCGTTGTTATTGTATTGTTCGGGTATCCGGTTAACGCGTTGTCCGTTGTCACAATGCGTCGGAACGCGCGTGCCGCGATTTTTCGATTTTCGCGCGGGACGGACGTCGCGGACGCAGCGAACCCCCGCGGGAACACCGTGCCGAACGCCGGGAACCGCTGTTGGCGCGCGCGCGACGGACGAACCGCAAAGGCCGCGGCGTTTCACTTCGTCGAGACGACCGCGGACCCCGGGGGCATCGTCCGGGGCCGTTTTGAAAGACCGCGGCGGCCCGGCCGCGGTACGATCGAGACGCGACCCGCGCGAGACGGCCGCGTGTTGCGGGGTTTTGTCCCCACCCCTCCCCGTGACGAAAAAAAATAATAACAACCGCGGACGAACGAACCGGGCGCGCGCCCCTCCCGGCAGACTCGACCGGCGCGAAAATGACGCGGCAAAAAGCGACGGCCCCGGTCGATTCGCCGCCGGTTTACCGATCCGAAATAGCGCGCCGGCATCGTCGCCCGTTCCCGGTCCGCGCGTCTCGGCGTCCGCGACCGGCGCGCACAACACAACACACGAGCGGAGATACCTATAAATACTGCGGATAATCTTTAGAGAGAGAAAAAAAAAATAAATATATATATACCTCATTTCCTAGTCCTTATCGTAATAATAATAATAATATCGATTTATCGTCCTAGAAACTAATATATTACCTATATTACCTATATTATTATTATTATTATTATTATACCTAAATTACCGTAATATTATGACGTTGACGTATTTTTTTTTTTTTTCCCGTTATTCTAAATTAGAGACACGTTTTTCTTGTTACAATCTCTCGTCCGCACGGGACACTATAGCGTTACGTTATTATTACCAGCGGATAATTTACCGTTATTTCGAAATTGTTAAGAGAGAAAAAAAAAAAAAAAAAAAAAAAATGTACTATTTATCTTGTTATTGTTATACTATTATTTTTATGTAAAATATTTGTATTATATTCGAACGATAATATTAATATTATAATATTAGATAAGTATATTATTATCATATAATATTAAAAGCGAAGAGTGTGCAAATATATATTAAGACTTGTGCGTGCGAGTCTGAGTATACATATATATAAAAAAAAAAATTGAACAATAACAAATTATTATTATTATTATTATTATTTAGTTTAAACCATACTATATATATATATATATAAATATATTATAATACCTACCATAATAATATTACCTATTATTATATTCGTATATAAATTTAAAAAAAAAAAAAAAAAAAAAAACGTAGAGCGGAAACACACGTTTAATTGTTATTGAACCGCCGAGATGCGTGTGTGTACGGGTGGTTTACGCGGTCGCACGAGACCCAAAAATTATTTTCTCGTCTTGTTCAACACACCGCCACACAATCGTTCGGTGGACACTATTTATTTTCCTCTTAATCTTCTCTTTTGTATCGTTAGCGCGCGATAATAATAATCGTTATACCGATTATTTAGAGTGAAAAAAAAAAAAAAAATAATAATAATAATAAATATATAATATAATATATAATCGATATCTCTTCCCGTAGCTGTAACAACGATAAATAACGTAGTCAAACGACGTCCCGTATCGTATACCTAACTATATATATATAATAAATATAATAATAACGCATACATAATGTTTTTGCTCTCTTTCTTAAGATTTAATATTGTACCTATTAGACGAGGGAAAAAAAAATTCATTAATACTCGATAATAATCTCACGGAGACCGCGGCGAAAAACTTTGTTTCGGGCCCCTTTTCGGCCGTTCCGAACGTCCGATTAGAAAAATACAAAAAAAAACATAATAACACACGTTACATTTCGGTCGTCGACACATACACCCGACTCGGACGTTCTGCCCCAAAAACATAAAACAAACGACCGAAAAATTAAGATTCGTGTTTGCCAAAAGGGGTTCTGCACAAAATATTACGACTATATGAATATTATTACCAATATTATCGCTATAATATTTATACGCGCGTCTTGCCAATAAATTATTATTATTATTATTATTATTATTATAATAACATATATCCGTAATACCATATTATATTATGTATATATTCATTTTCGATGTTATTTTTTACACACACTATATTTTATTTGAAGTGGAAACGAAAGTGTTGATTGCAATATTTTTTTTTTTTTTTTTTTTTTTGTTAACAATACTAATAGGTACATCAGATAGATAGAGAGAGAGAGAGAGAGAGACAGAGAAATATAGAGAGAAAAGCAATGTAATTTCGGGCTATCGGCAAAGACAAACAAAAATGTAATGTATTATTGTTTATCTGGAGCCAGTATCTCGAAAAGGTTGAAATATTTCATTAAAATTAACAATATTATTGTGGATGTGATGCTATACCTATATCAGTTAAAATAATAATAAATTTGTTTGTTGTTTATTAATCAAATATCAAATATCTTTATTTTTTTTTTTTTTTTTGACGAGCTCTCCCAAAAATGTGTTATATTATTATTTATATTTTTTTTTGTTTATTATTTCGTAACATATTTATAATAATATACTTGTAATGTTGGATCAATATGTATGTTAAATAGCGCATTATATTAGTATATTAAACACTAAGTATTAAATAAAAATAAATATATCAACGCGTACCTATAAATATTATATTATGTACCCAGCATTTTGGAGTGAGAACAATCAATTTAATAGAAGACCGGCGGTCTACATGCAAGTACCACGTGAACTGGTGGTTGTAAAGATGAAAAAGTTGATTAACTTTCACATAAAACAGAAGACACTAAGTAGTATCACACTCACAATTTTACCTTCACTAAAATACTCAAATTAACTATAACTTTTTATTAGGATTTTTAATTACTTAAAAATTAACATATATTTACAAAAAATATGACAAAAACACAATATTCAAGGTAATCGACTACTACTTTGTAAACTTAAACGTACTAATTTGTTTAAACTTTTGCAACTTTTTCATCATCCGAAGAATCACTGGAGTCATCACTATATATTTCTGGATTTCTATTATTTGATGAAGTCTATAAATCAGAAACAATAATTGCTCATTAATTACCAGAATCAAGAAATTTTCTCTTAAATATTGATTCAATTAAGAAAACTAATTTTAATAAAAAAAAAAAACCATTTTCAAATTACAATGAAATCAGAACAATGAACAATAATAATAAACAATAATAAAGTAACAGCAATACACAGTCATGTCAGATTAAAAATTATCTCTTGAAAGTTTAAAATAATTAAAATTTGAATTCATTGATTGCTGTGACTGCTGGTTAACTTGCTTTTGTAATAGTTATTAGGTTGGAGCAAAAAATCAATTGTTAAAAACAAAAACAATTTTTAAGATAAACTTAACATCAGAATTATTAATTATGTAAATACTAACATAAAGTTAGATTTGTAAAATAAAAATTTCAAGGTTAGTTAAAATATTTAGTATTTACTATAAGAGCATACTTTTTTTTTTTGTAATGAACTTGTATCATATTTGAATTCTTCACCTCGAGTCTTTAAAAGTTGTTTAAGCCTCATCACAGCCGTTTCATTTAAATCATTGAGTGTAATTTTTTCTAAAGCTTTGTCTAATATTTTAGAAGCTTCAATAGCATTATCCTGATTAACTACAATAATACATTTAATATTTTATTAAATAATATGATATAATTTTATCTTTCTTAACTCACCATAAGAATCTATCATAGCACTATAAATTAACCCGGCGTTTTTATTCTGATCAATATTCTTAAAGCTTGGCAATATTTCTAAGAACTTGTGGGCCATTTCAATATTATTATTCAAACGGATCTCCGATAGTAAGTATCGGTACTGAATAAACTTTGCATCTTCGAAGACTTTAACAAGAGTAAGAGCTTTTTCATACTCTTTGTTTAGCATGAAATAAGACCATAAGCTATTGGCAAACTCTATATGGCCATGTGATATCACTTTAGAATTTAATCTTTCAACTAAAAAAAGTGAAAAACATGTATTAATTTTAAACTGTTTATATATTAGGGCAATATCTAAAATGATAATTATTTCAAAGTTATAAAATATATTATACCTTCAATAATTATATACACAGATATTGATATACCTGTTCATTTACTTTAATATAAGATTAAATAATATTTATTGGGTTAATAATAATTAATTAGTTATTACTAGTTTGTGCATTTAAAAATAAAATTAATCATATTATGAATAAACTAAATTAATGTTCATTTATAAACATAATTTCTCTATTAAGGAAAATAAAAATAATAAAATGAATAAATTATGTCCAGGATTATTTTATTTTTATTTTTTAAATAGTTAAATAATAGTTACTAACCAAATGGCACAAATGAAGAGTCCGACTTCAAGATATTTATTATACCGCTACCTGGAACATTCTTGATAATTTTAGATAATTTGTCTGAATCATTTATATTTGCATCAATAGTGTTTTCTAAACGAACAAATAGATCGTTTGCATTACCTCGCAATTGATATGCTTTAAATATTTTACTGTTTAAACTCAATTTTTGACTAACAACCTAAAAATTAAAAAGAACATTATTATACTTTAAATGTGATATAATAATATATAATAAAATCTCAATAGTTAACAAATTATTATTAGGTTAAATCATCATACTTTTGAAACTTTTCCTTCTAAATATTCTAAACTTGCAAAATCACCAGATTCTGAAAGTTTCCCCGCTAAGAAATTGAATATGTTTTGTGTTATTGGCCTACTATTATTCAACATGTCTTTGCTAATTTCAAATGCTTCTTCCAATCTATTTTCACGTGTTAACATCTCAATAATTTTAGATTCTTCGAATGGATTGATAGTTGAACCTTTTGAAAGTATTGATTTGCGCAGTGATAGAGCTTTATTGATATTATCACTTTTTAACAACATATCAATTTGAGAATTTATAATTTGGTTGGCATTTTTAGGATTTGCTCTCTGATTAATATTTTTTGGTTGAACTACTTTGAAAGGAACTTCAAGATTATTTTTTTTTAATAGCTCGCTTAATTCCCACATAAAATTATCTGTCGGTTGAATATCTTCTTCTTGCATTTGAATCCATAGAGCCATTGCTTCCTTTACCTTATTATTTTGACCTAAATCATATATATTTTAATAAAATGTATAACATATTTCATAATAATCCAAGTTTACTATATAACTGAAGAAGTTCATTAAATATTTGGGTCCTGTCAAATGCACCAACATATTTTGTGACGTCTAGCAGACGAACTAAATTTTCTTCTGAACCTTCTGATCTGTATTTTGCACAAACAGTGTTAATACGATCTTGTCTAATTCGTAAGCCAGGTGTCTAAAAAAAGGATATTTTGTAGTATCGCTAGTTATTTGAAAATCAATATTTTAAGTTAACAAAACATAATAGTATAGTTTAATATTTCTTGATGCCAGAACAATGTCATATTTGAATGATTTAAGATTGACAAAAATGAATGAAATAATTATTTGATATTTAAATTAGTAATGATACATAATTAATAAATTTAAATAATTTAAATATAAATTTTGATAAAAATCTTTAAAAAGATTTTATCTAAGTTATTTTTCTTTCAGGTATTACATAGTTAGAAATTGATATCTTTACTACTTTATAATATAATCCTTGCCAAAAACAAATGTATTATTTTTAATCATATTTTGAAACAATAAATTTCAAGTTAGTAAAACATAAAAACAAAATTAATTCTATACCAACCTCTAATATTTTACGTGCTTGTTTAATACGGCCACATTCAATAAATGAAAACATCAAATCATAAAGAGAATTAATTTCACCGTGTACAGTAGTACTCAGGTCAGTTAGGATTTGCAAAGAAGTAGCATCTTCTGCTTCAATAAATTTATGCGCTAGTTCATTTTTCCATGGAGTACATCTGTACGTTTTACAACACCATTCAAATTTAGCCAAAGCTTCTTTAAGATCATTTCTATAAATAAATGTGAATTTGATTAACACGATTTGATGATATTAATTATTAAGTATAAATAAATATTAATTAAATAGTAATTACTTGATAATATGTACTTTAACTAAAGGTCCTAAAAGTACATTTGATACTGTAATATAGTTATTATTTATAAGCAAATCAAATACTTTCTGAAGGTTTTCTACATTTCCACTTTCAGCAACTATATTCAATAACCTCCAACAAGTATTAGCATGTAGGTATGGCATAAACTCATTATTACTATCAATTTTTTTTAATGAAGACAGAAAAACAATAGTATCTATAAAATACAGAATATTTTTCAAATAAAATAAAATTTTAAGTTTTAAAACCTGATTTTCAATAATGAAATTACGCAAACACTTACTTTCAATACTATCAATTTTAGCTATTACTTCTGCCATTTTCACAACTTTATATTTATCTAAAATAAATTCTGGATCATTAGATTTTATGTTCTCATATATTTCTCTAGCTTCTGCCAATTTATCGTTGTTTAAATATAACTCCATAAGTAAAACCATTGATCCGATAGGTATTTTAAATCCTTCAGCTATCAATTTCTATATGGCAATTATATAATATATTAAATGATATATAATTATTTTGTCATGCTTAAATTAATATTACATCTTTCAGTGCAGAAGCTTTTTCCAAATTTTGATTTTTGCAATACAAATTTAACAATTGTCTCTTAGAGTTATTTTTTGAGTCACCAGAGAGTTCTGCTTTTTTAATAATATTTTCTAACGTACTTTCATTCTAAAATAAGAAATACAATTGTATTATTTTTTTAGTGAAAATAATATAAATATTATCAAATGTTAATAATTGTCATACTTACTATAAGAGGGTACACATATGTAGACGATTTAACACTCAATTCATGTTTGGGTACCAAATTAGAATCTGTTAGACTCTCTAATAAATTTGATACTTCAACAGTTATTTTCCCTTGTAAATGATTTTGTACTTTTTCTACAGCAGAAGGATTAATCCCCAAACCTTTTTCGTATAAGTTCTATAAAAATATAAATGTACAAATAAAAATATTATTATTAAACAAAAAAAACAAACAATACATTTTATTGCAATTAAAAATGACCATAATATTTAAATAGTTCCACAAGAAAATCAAAAAAGATATTATGATATAAATACATATAGATGTAAAGATAGCTTTAAAAGATAAATCTAAATATAATTTACTTCTAAAATTTCTTGTGTAATTTGTACAGCTCCTGAATTTTGTTTAAGATTTTGAACAATACCATTTATAAGTTGACTAATGAATTCTCGCATTTCAATAATTTGTTCTTCAGTATTATTTAGCGATAACTGTGTTTCTCGTTGTTTTGCCAATTCGGGGGCATTTATAAGAGAAAAACGGGTAAGACCACTGCATATTTTTTGAAGTATTACAATGAGTGATGTAACATCATGGCTGGCTAAAAATGCATTTATCAATGGCTGCCGTAATAAAGAAGGATAGTAAAAAGCACGATATGTGGCAGCTATAGAAAAAAAAAAATGCAAATTATAGTTTAGAAATAAATTACACACAATTTTCAAAATATCTCAATTAAACAAATTGTAAGTTACATACCAATATCTGCAGCCAGGCGAATTTCTTTTTTAGACAATAAATACAACACCATTGCATGTGCACTAGTGCCAGTTGTTACGCCCATTAGTTGTAAATCAGTAATAATTTGTGCTCCAAGTAAATTATTTTTAAACATAAAAGGTAAGATGTAATATCGAAGGGTATCAATATTAGGGGTAATATTATACTCATTTATCATAATACTCAATATATTTTTAAGTCCTTTAATTAAAACAAATATTTTTTATTGATATGTATTATTGAATATAGTGCAAAAATAATAGGTACCTTTTAAATCATTTTGTTTACTTTTAGCAACAAAAAGTGGCCAAAAGTAATGTTGTCTAACAGGTTGTTCATTTTTTTTTAAATACTCAAACATGCTTAAAGCTAAATCAACTGATCCATTTTGCAATGCTATTTCAGTGGCAATATCAAACGCTTTAGGATTGGTTTGTTCAGATACTAATTTGTTACAAAATTCTATCAAATTATCAAAAGACTGAAAAGAAAAATGTTAAAATTAAAATAACTATATAATTAACACAAAAAGGTTAATATGGACTTTGTATTCAATTTGTTTTGAAAATTGATTGACAATTACTCAAGATAGTTGTGTTATAAATTTATTAGGGCAATACATTTGTTTTTTATATTTAGATGATAAACTCATAACACATTCCTACTCTTCCGGTCTGAATTTTTATAACTTATAAAGAGTAAATCTATTAGTAGTAGGGTGTGAATTTATATAAATATACGTCTTTGTTTTGAATGATGGCAATCAAACGATTCTTCTATAGAAATATGTTTCAGTTCTATCTGAATGCTTTAAGCTATGGTTGATATAGTAGCTACATATTTTTACATATTCAAATTTACTTACATATTTTAATATAATTTACTTTTATTACATATTTTTGTTAAATATTTCCCTATTTTCAAAAATCTCTGTTATCGCCATTAAAAATATACTGTGCTAGTCACACGTTGCTAGACTATGTAATCTATGCATCACGCGCCTGTATATTCTATAAATATTATATATATTAAATATGTGGTCGTTATCGCATATTATCACGTTCAGATGGCATTAATGCTGTACACATTTCGATAAATGTATTAAGTTGTTAATTGTTAACGTCTACTCGTTCGAGAAAATAATTTTTTTTTTTACACACCTTATATTTTTAATTGCATATTTGAATAAAAATACATATATATGTATATATTTTTGAGTTTTAAGTACATATAAATCCGCACCCTAATTATTAGTGTTACACATGTCTTCATTTTTAGAAAAAATATTCACTATTCGAATTTATATTGAAAAAGAAGATTCCTATTTAAAAAAAACAAAAGTATATATTTATTTAAGGTGCATAAAATAGGAGTAAAAATTAATTAATGAAAAAATAGTTTATTTAAAAATCTTAAAATGATTCCAGGATTCTACAATAGTTGAAAAAAATAATTAAATTTACTTAAAATTCTCTGAGAGAATTACTTGTTTATCCTGTATACTAATCAAAAATACAATCTTAAGTTAGATTATATTACTTCTATAGCTGCAATAGTAGTGAATTCAATTAATGATTAGTATCTGGCACTGTGTAAAAAAAAATTACTTAGCAGTACCTAACATTTTTTGATGCAACATTGAATATTCAATTTCTTCTTTTCTTTTTAACTTACCGTATTAACTTTTATAAGATGCATGATTAAGAACCGACCAATAGGTGGGCAAGATCCATCAGGTTTTAGTGGTTTTATCATTGTATCAAATAATTTAAATGCTATTTTTTCTTGCCCAGCAATCACTAATTTATAAATACAATTGATGGCGTCTTGATTGTATCCAGACATTTTCTGAATTCGAGTTATTATCTTTATTTGAACAAAATATATCATTTTTATAATCAATCAATCAATACAGTAGGTAGTTAAATAATAAACTACAACATTAAAATAAATTTACTTGATCAATTTGATTGCTGTGACCATTAGTTGCCAATACATATATTATATCAAGATATTCTCTATCACTTATATATATTTCTTTGCCATTAGAAATATCTAAAATTTCAATTACTTTTGCAATATCACCCTTTTTGGCGTATCCTGAAGCCAATAATGTGTAAGTATCTGATGTAGGTTCTAGATTTGATTCTTTCATAACATTTAAAACCTTTTCTGCACTTTCCATATCACTAATATGTTGATTAAAATTAGTAACAAATTAAAATATTTGAACATTTTATAATGATTTAACAGTTTAAAATATTAAAAATTGCATTACCCATTTTGCGAATGGCCCAAGACAAGGGCGTTGAAAACTACTTTGTTGATTGGCAATTGTTTATTATTCATATATTCTAGTATACGACTAGCGCCTTCAATATCACCATTTTGACAATAACTGGTAATGAAATGTTGAAAAGTTACACGATTCGGCGCAATACCTTTCTTTTCTAAATCTTCCAGAAATTCTGTCGGAGAGTATTTATAATTATTTTCCAAGTATACTTTTAGCAGTGTATTATAATGGCTTATATCGAGAGAAACACCTGAAAATATCGTAATTTAACATTTATTATATTTAATTGTAATTAATTAATATTAGGTAACCAATTAAATATAAATTTGTACCAATGCGATTTATTGTATTCCATAATTCCTTAGCGAGTATTGTACGATTCTCGGGCAATTCATCTGGGACTAAACTACCACAACATCGAAGTACCATTAATGACTGAGACGGTGTTGCAGTTTCTACATTAGAACAAATATTAATGATAATATAAATATCTTCAAGTACCTACTCACAAAAAAATTAACATACTAGAAGTTTTAATTTCTTTTAGAATTTCTTCGATTTCCCTTTTGGATATGCGACCAGCTCGTCTTAAATCTGAATCAAGTTGTTTAATATGACTGTCAATTGTGTTTAACGATGTTTCTTTATTATAAATAGTTGATGTAAAAAACGAGCTACACAAAACCAAATAATTAAATAAATTTCATATGCGGAGAATAAGAGGTCAAACTTACCGATTAGGAAGTATATTAGTATTGGGATATAAAGTATTAATTCCATTATTAATTACTGTAGATGTACTTCGAGAAATATGAGAATTGATCTGAAAATTTGTGTTCAATGTGTTATTACTAACCCTGTGACGGCTTAGACTGTACGCAGAACGAATGTGCTTTGAACAATGAATTAGAACGGACATGTTTTTAGTTTAATACGAATTTTACAACAAATTAATTTTAAATACAAATTAGGCAATTATCGAAATTTAGTAGCCGAAAAATTTCCTAAAAGTAACCTTAAAAATAAAAATGTCCGGCGCACTTTATCATAGAAATTCTTTCATCGTTAACACCTTACCATAGAATTGGTTATTCAATTGTATATGATAGCATTGATAACCAAGTGCCAGAGAGATTATATATTACTGTATAAAAAGTTTCAAGATTCAAACAGATCGAGGGCACATATTTTAGACGCATCCGTGACATTCATGAGTCACGAGTCATGATATTTTTATTCGTGGACAACAATTTTGCGAACACTACCAAAGAATTTATAAAATAACTAGCTGTTATCTGTGATTTCTCTCGTGTAGACATTTAAAAAGCCTACCTGTTTTATGGGTTGAAAGATAACTAAACCAAAATATAGGTATCGATTTAAATATAAACTTTCAACAGTCGGTTTATGAATTATATTAAAATTTGTCAAGTTTTTAATAATATATTTGATTCTAAATAATAATACCCACACGCATACGCGAAAATAGCCCTAATATTTTAAGAGTGCTCACGGGTCACAGTAGCGTCGGCAATTGTTTCGGGGTGTACAATTTCTTCGGGGACTTCCATACTGCGATAGAGGCGCTGATGATTGTTAAATATTTGGCAAACAAATTACTATTGAAATTTAATCAATATAAACGTGACGTGAAGCAGGCCAAATAGCTAGTTCATGTCAATTTAGTTGACTGCGAAAATTCATGTGTCCGCTTGCAGAGATAAACTGATAAATCTAATAATACTATAACCACGGCTCTACAGCCTCGATATTAGAGAACATTTTCTCAAGTCGTATTTTAGACCTTATATACTATTACTAGTAGTTTGACAGGACATATTTTGAATTGTCGTAATTTTTACGATTTTCGTCAAAATTTGATAATAAAACGCTTATGAAAAAAAAAAACTAATACATATTAAACTCAAATTTGTTTTTTAGACTATTAAGTACAACTTGTAATGTACCTTTTGTCAAATTTGCAAGCATTAAGTTATTACGCTCTTAAGTCATATAATTTTAATAACAGATATGAATCAAATAAAAATGCATATAAAAACGCGAATATATTAAATACTTATAAATAACATAAATTTAGTTAGAATGTTTTGAAAATTTTACTTCCTCTACAAAAGGCCAATATAAGTATTTTGTAAATATCAAAGGTCTCTACAATAATTTTAAACGGAATAACAACAAGCCAATAAAAAAGTTATCCTAGGATAATGGAGATGGGTGCAGCCACTGTTGTAGGTGGGAAGTTGCGAAGGAAGGATACAGAAGACAATTTAATTATGTATATCTGTAACAACGATAGACTATTGCTAACAAAAAAACGATTCTGAACGCAGTACAATTGATAGTGATATTTTGTCAACAATAATATATATATATACATATATATACTGTAGTATATATAATAGAATCATTTTCCAGTTTCTCCTAAATTTTTCCCGATTTCTTCGCTCCATTCAGAATCTAAAATCTAAATGTCGTACACTTTGCCGAATTTCCTAAATTTTTCCCCGGTTTTTCATAATTATAACAATTAAAGAAAACTATGCAAAAAATCAAACTTTTTTTCTACTTTTTTCACTCACAAACATGACAGAACTTTTTTTTTAAAAAAAGGTTATACTTGAAATTTGGACAAAAATTGTTGGTAGAAAAATATAATCACACAATTTTTAAATAATGAAATCGTTGCGTCGTAATTTGAAATTCCTATTTTTGGTTTCCCCCCCCCCTTAATTATTATTAAAACTACTTTAGATATCAGAAAACGACTTTCTTTCTCACTGGTCCTCTGACGAACATCCCCACCAAATTTGGTTATTGGTATTAAATAATAATAAAATATTAATAGATATAGTATATATATATATATATTGTATATTGTATAGTGCACAGTATGTATTATATAAAAGTTTTATAAACAACTATCAGTTATTCTAATGAGGAGTATTAAGGGAGAGCTGCGTTTAACGTGGGATAAAAAGTGGGCAATTTAGTTTACACTGTACGATCCATTTTAAAAATATGTTATCGAGTAATTGAATTCGAAGAAGAATTCGTATTATTTTTTGAACAAGAAAATCTACTAATATTCAAAGATTTTTTTCAAGAAAAAAATTGTTGTGATACTTAAAACATACTTGGTCGATATATTTAAAAAGCTAAATGATCTAAATGCTTCAATGTAAGAACGGCAGGAAACAATAATTTCTTCGGTGAATAAAATCAAAGAGTTAAAAACAAAATTGTATTCTTTAAATCTTCAACAATCAAGTGATTTTTCAAATTTTCTAACATTTTCAAAATTATCGATGGGAAAATAAACTAATGAATGAACACAATATGTCTTCGAGAAAATAAATGTTGATATCCGCCGCAGGATTGATGGTCGGGTAACATTATATTTTTAAAAAAAGGAACATTAGGCGTACCTAAGTGGGTCAAAAACTGGCTCGCTAAAAGGGACTTGTTTGACCATTATTACGAGAGTTAAACGAAAATTAAGAGAGTTTGAGAGTGTGTGTGTGTGTCTGCGTTAATATTCGCACGAAAATCATCCAAAATCCAAAACGAACTTTGTATAGACCTTACAAATGTATACACGGAATTTATTAATTCCGAGAGAGTTTCGTTATGTTGAAAAATACAAAAAAAAAAAAAAAAAATTCTCTTTTGGTACATATATATTTGCCTATACTATCAATTATGTATAAACCAAATAAAGCGCAAACTGCCTAATTCGCAATTTCGGATAAAAACTTTGGTCGATCGGTTTTATAATAATATAAATACAAATTTAATATTAATTTATTGATTAAACGATTATGTAATTATAACTTATAATGTATATAGATTTACGTAATTGTGTCCTTTTTCGATTAAAAATTCAACGACATTTTAGATTTTCAACAAAGTGCGTTGTTGTTTTATAAAGCGTGTATGTTACGTATTATGTATACATCTACTGGTTATTAGGCTTTTAGTTTGAAAATACTTAAAAAGAAAAATATCAAGTTGAGAAGAATTCGCGAATTAAAAAATATAATAGGTATACTTAAAATAACGTAATAACCGAGTGTGACATTAGAAAACTGATTAAATATTGGAAAAACTTTTTTTCTAGAAATATTTTATACCATTATGGTTAAATGGTAGCATGCCATTATTATGTGTGATAAAAGTACATACAGTTGAAAACCCCAGGGATGGGTGGGGGACAATGGCTCCTTTTGTCCCCTCCTACGGGTGTCATTGAATTTTCTCCCGTTTTTATTTTATTATTTTTTTTTTTTTTACGAAACGTCAGTCTGCTCATTTCGAATGAAAATATTGAACGGTATAAAACCCTGCAGTAATCGCCAATCGCAGTTTTGCAATCACATTATCGCACTATTACGCATTATTTATAAACATAATAATATTACAGGAGTGAATCTTACTGTACAATGGATAGAACTACGGCCATGTACACTATCTAAGCCTTAAGGAGTGAATAATTATAATAGTTTTTTATCGCAAAATGTTTCATTGTGACCGGTTCTCCTTATCGGTTTATCTTCGGACTATCAGCAACCGTGGTCGCATGCACAAGACACCTTGGCGGTGCGTGGTGCGGGATCGTTCAAATTAATATTCTTTCACTACGGAAACACGTCACGCACGCACGCACAATACAAATTGCCTTTACTCAACCGGTCGGTACTGAATCTCCTTAAACAAGGTTCAAAACTTTAACGTGGAAAACGTTTAGACACAAACAGCCCGTAGAATTTGTACGGAGAATAACAGGTTGTACCAGCGTATTTACTACACTATTCGAACCATTTTTGTCTACCTGTAAATCAACAATTCATATGCATACGAGTTGACACTCCGTGGTCCGGGAACTCGTCCAAAAGTCCAAAAGTCGGTAGAGGTCAGGACTCAGGGCTGTTGTGTTGAATCAAATACTATACGTATCAATATGGGATAGTCAATTTTAAAATGTTTGCGGCACATCAATAGGTAATATTCTTTTAAAATTGTTTTATTATCTATGAACATATCCACATTATCCATGTAATTCAGGATTATTTGTATTCCTTTTATTGCGGTTCCAATAGGAATAAGCCACGTGAGAAGGCGTGTTCTAGAAATTCATATTTATTCATAAGATTTCCCGGTGTGCTTAGTTCGATCCTGGTTGACACGGTCCCCGAGCACCGCATCGTCGACCGTCATCGTTAACTGTACACACCGTCACACGGTACCGGGTAGCTCATAGTGGTAGAATAATCGTAATCATTTTTCGTAGGACAGCACTCTTTTTTGATCCATTGTCCTATGCCCTTAACAATAGTGTTAAGTACATGAAATCGTACTCTTTTTTGGAAAATATTATGGCTGAAGCGTTTATGGTTTTGTTTAATTTAATTATTCATTTATATTTTTATATTTTATGGTTCGACCTAATGCATTCTAAACGTCTGCAAGTGACTGACAACGGTAGCAACAGCTGGAGAACCACTGTTTGACGAAAAAAAAAAAAAAACGTTGTTAAAACCATAACCTCCCAGTTATTATAGTTTTACCTAGTTTTTATAGTTAATATTAGAAAAGATAAAAAATAATTACTAAGTAATCAGATGGAAAAAAAAATGTATATAGGTGGAGATGAGCTGTGTAAATATGGATAGAATAGTATACACATGGGCCAATTCTTTCAAGGGAGGTTTTTTTCTTATAATGGAGGACATCAAATTTAAAATATACTTTTGTTGGATTTTTATATCTGGTCATCATAATTATAGATAGAGCTACGTGTGTTTTACTCAGTTTCTTCAACTGTATCCGATATAAATCTCTACTTATGTCAAATTTTTGGGTGACACATACTTGTGCTCGTGCGCGTCGTGACTGCCGCCAGCTGATATAGTTATCTTGAACAAAATTATTAAGTTTTTAAACGAATTATAATTTTACTGATTGGCTGCATATTAGTTTGCGCGTGTAATTTAGCACAGGTCACCCGAAATTGTTATA